TTGGACCAACTTACACTTGCTCATTCAAAGACAGAAAATCAGAAAATGCATAATTACTCTGTAACAGACCTTAACATGATTTCTACTTTGCATGAGGATTAAAATCATTATTACTGTTTCACAGTTGAATTAAAAATGATTAGTTCACTGCAACATCTAAAAATGGTTTGAACTAAAAACACTTTGATTATCAAACATTTGTAAAATAGTAATGATAATAGAAAATAGTGTTCTTTCACTTGATCAATTCAAGAAAGAAAGTCTCAGGATGGGTCAACCTGTATTTCTGGATTCAAATCAATGAAATGACAGTTTATGTCCCATAAGGTCCTTAAGGTCAGGATTTGACCTCAGGCCTAGTTCACTACAACCTTATCCACAAAGTCCATGGTGTTCTGTATGTGGTGTTCTGAGCTGCCAACTAAAGGGATGAGTAAAGACGCCAGATATTTGGAAACATTGTAAGTGACAGAGTTAATCATGCTAACAATAGGTCTTAAAGGTACACCTTGTTTGTGGATTTTAGGTAAACCATACAGACTAGGTGTGGCCTCCCCTGGGTACAGTCTGTGGTACAGAATATGGTCAATAGCCTTGTCCTGCTCCAAATTTTTCAGGCAATCTATTAACTTTTTCTTGTAACCATATCCTGGATCTCTTTTCAGAGGTTCATAAGTGGTTAAGTCACTAAGGAGTGTCATAACTTTCTCATGATAGTCTTTCTGGTTCAAAATCACTGTGCACCTTCCTTTGTCTGCTGGGAGAATGATGATGTTTTTGTCCTTGCTAAGAGTGGTGAGTGCATCGCTCTCCTCTCTACTGATGTTGGAAGGTGGTGGTTTGGCATTGCTGAGGTAGGATGAAACTTTGATTCTGAGCTGTTCTGCTTCACCCTCTTTCATTTTGTTGTTGCGGATAGCTGATTCTGTTGCTGTGATCATCTCCACCAGAGGAATTGTCCTTGGTGCAACCGCAAAGTTCAGTCCCCTGGCAAGAATCTCTGTCTCAGGCTGGGTTAGCTGTCTGTCAGATAAGTTCTTCACCCACTTTTCTGTCTCCCTGGCATGTAATTGACTACTGGAGTGTTGTCCTAAACTGAATGTGTTGTTATTGGAATAGTGATGGTGTTGATGAGTTATTAGTAAGTTAAACTTATTTTGTTGTTGAGTCTTGGACTTTGCGGTTGCACCAAGGACAATCACAAGGACATCACTCTTTACGTGCATTCCTGTTGATGATGCAGTAGAGGTGGTCAGTTTAAGATTAAAATCAGACACCACTCTGAGCAGCAGGACCATGCTTTCCACAGAACAACTGTGTCAACTCTTGAAACTGTGCCTGCAGTCAACCTACTTCACTTATGGGGAGCAATATTATAGGCAGAAACATGGGTGTGCTATGGGGTCTCCAGTTTCTCCTATTGTTGCCAACCTGTACATGGAGGAGGTAGAAAAGAGAGCCTTGACATCCTTTTCAGGGACACCACCAAGTCATTGGTTCAGGTATGTTGACGA